ATTCCCAGAGGAGCTGTGGCTGTTCCATCCCTGGAAGTGCCCAAGGCCAGGTTGGAGTAACCTGGGACAGTGGGAGGTGTCCCTGCCCGTGGAAAGGGGTGGACTGGGATGATTTTAAGGTCTTGGCATCCTCTGAGAACTGTGTGACCCCTCTGATGGAAGTGACTGTCCCGTTTGGAGTGTGATTGTGAGCAGAGCTGAGTTGCCCTGGAGTCATTCCCGGCTCTTTCCCAGGTATCTCGCCCGGGTGACGGACACGGAGGCCACGGACACGGCCAACCCCAACCTCAACTATGGCATTGTGGTGGACTGTGGCAGCAGTGGCTCCAGGATCTTTGTGTACTGCTGGCCCAGGCACAATGGGAACCCCCACGACCTGCTGGACATCAAACAGATGAGGGACAAGAACAGGAAACCTGTGGTCATGAAAATCAAGCCAGGTATGGAAAGAAATTCAGTGGAATGGGATTTTCTACAGAGTTTCCTCTCCTAACTTCTGCTTTTCAACCCCCCCAGTGCCTGGAGGAAGGACAGTTGCAGGCTGTGAGGATGGAACTCCTCCAGATTTCTTTGGGTTTGGTTTGCAGGGGGTTTTGTTGAGCTTTAAAACCTGAAACAGGGCTGGGGGAGAGGTTTCTCCATGGACAAACCAGCTGCTGGTTCAGTTGTCATTTCACTTTATTCCTTTTTATTGAGTGAATAAATCATTGCCTTCCTGTAAAGCTGTTTGAACCAGTTATCTAAATAATTATAGAAAAAGGTATTATATCTCTATTATTACACTTTTATTTGTTGTTTAGAGGATGATTAAGGATGAATTTCATTCTCATTTCCTAGAGTTGATCCCCTACTTTTCACTTGAGGTTTTCAGACCGATCTTGGGGTTTACAGGCTGGATTATTCATCTCTCTGCCTGTTGGTGTCCAGGATTTCCCAGGCAATGCCCCAAACCTGAGCTGCTTCCCTTCCATGTTCCATTTTTCCCCAGGGATCTCAGAGTTTGCCAGCTCTCCTGAGAAAGTCAGTGATTACATCTCGCCCCTCCTGAGCTTCGCTGCCGAGCACGTGCCCCGTGCCAAGCACAAGGAGACCCCTCTGTACATCCTGTGCACTGCAGGCATGAGGATCCTGCCCGAGAGGTGGGTGCCTGCCTTATTTTTTTGGGATTTGGAGCTGCCATCCTGGTGGCTCTGGCTGGTTTTAACCCTTCCCAATGGGATTTTGCAGCCAGCAAAAGGCAATACTTGAAGACCTGCTCACTGATATCCCCGTGCAGTTTGATTTCCTGTTCTCTGACTCGCATGCAGAGGTGATTTCAGGCAAGCAGGAAGGTAAGTGAACTTTCCCAAGGTTATCTTTAAAATATTTGCTGCTTTCAAGGTAGTTTGGCTGCTTTTTTTTTTACTTTTCTTTTGAATTTTGCTTTGCTTGGGAGCCCTTTTTCCTCAGTAGCAACACACGGAGCGTGGAGCTGCTCTAAATGTTTTCTGATGAACAGTGAAAATAACTTGGCTGGGTTTAGCAGGAATTTCATCCATTTTCTTAGGGAGGGAGGGAGG